CCACGTTGCTGACCATGATTACCTTGGGGAGGATAGAAAGGGGCCAGGGCTGCAGACTGCGACAGAAGTAACTTTAACTGCAATAGTTCAACCTTTAGAGGAATGTGTTGTTTATAAATTTTGAAACTTAAAATTAATTGTAAAAGAAAAGTGTGAATAGTTGTTAGAGCAGACGAACACTACACATGACCCTTTGTAAGGCGGGGCGTTAACTTCCTGACCAAGTGCACTAAATAGATGTGGTTCTAGGGCTTTCTAGAAATGTCCCAACTGATACAGGCTACGTAAAAGATGCCCACACATTGCAGACATACAAAGAGGAAAAGAAATGTCGTCACATGTAGGCCAGGCAGTACTGGAACTGGGATTTGCCCGATAGGCCTGTGTTACTTAGAGTTAATCAATAGGAGTGAATTGCGGTATTTCTACAATGCTTTATGGTTTTAAAGCGATCTCACTTGAGTTTAACAATTGTGTCCAGTAGGTAGGTAGGGCTGGAATCATCATCTGCATTTTGCAGAGTACAACATTGAAATTCAGAAAAGTTCAGTGACTCGTCCAAGATCAAAGTTACTAAGGGGCAGAGGACCTACAGTTTCCAGAAGCTGAATGCCTTCTCTAGTTCCTCTATTTTTGACAAATCCAACTCCAATAGTTAGTTAATGGTAGCTCTCGGACCCTACATTTTATCTTTTTTAAATTTTTATTTGATTTTATTGATTATGCCATTACAGTTGTTCTATTCCTCCCTTCACTCCCCTCCACCCTGCACACCCCTCCCCCACCATTCCCCCCCTTTAGTTTATGGCCATGTGTCTCAAGTTCTTTAGATTCTATATTTCCCATACTATTCTTGCCCTCCCCCTATCTATTTTCTACCTACCATCTATGCTTCTTATTTTCTGTACCTTCTCCCCCCTTCTCCTCCTCCCACTCCCCTGTTGCTATCCCTCCATGAGATCTTCATTTCTATGTTTCCACTCCTGATCTAGCTGTCCTTTTAGTTTGCTTTTGTTTTAGGTGTGGTTGTTAATAATTGTGAGTTTGCTGTCCTTTCACTGTTCATGTTTTTTAACTTCTTTTTCTTAGGTAAGTCCCTTTAACATTTCATATAATAAGGGCTTGGTGATGATGAACTCCTTGAATTTGATCTTATCTGAGAAGCACTTTATCTGTCCTTCCATTCTAAATGAAAGCTTTGCTGGATAGAGTAATCTTGGTTGTAGGTCTTTGGATTTCATGACTTGGAATACTTCTTTCCAGCACCTTCTTGCTTGTAAGGTCTCTTTTGAGAAATCCGCTGACAGTCTGATGGGAACTCCTTTGTAGGTGACTGTCCCCTTATCTCTTGCTGCTTCTAGGATTCTCTCCTTCATTTTAATCTTGGCTAATGTAATTATGATGTGCCTTGGTGTGTTCCTTTTTGGGTCTAACTTCTTTGGGACTCTCTGAGCTTCCTGGATTTCTTGGAAGTCTATTTCCTTTGCCAGATTGGGGAAATTCTCCTTTATTATTTGTTCGAATAAGTTTTCCACTGGTGGCTGTTCCTTTGCCCCTTCTGGTACTCCTATAATTCGGATGTTGGAGCGCTTAAAGATGTCCTGGAGGTTCCTAAGTCTCTCCTCATTTTTTTGAATTCTTGTTTCTTCATATTTTCCTGTTTGGTCATTTTTTCCTTCCTTCTGGTTCACTCCCTTGATTTGAGTCCCAGTTTTCTTTTCATCACTATTGGTTTCCTGTGCAATTCCCTTCATTTCAATTAGTTTGGCCTTCATATGTTCCTCTAATTTGTGACTAAAATCCACAAGTTCTGTGAACATCCTGATCACCAGTGTTTTGAACTGTGCATCTGAAAGTTTTGCTATTTCTTTGTCACTTAGAGTTATTGGCTCTGGGGCTCTGAGTTGTTCTTGAGCCATTTTTGGTCTGTTCTCGCCTGTTAAGTATGAGGAGCGAAGCCTTAGCTGTTCACCAGGGCGGGGCCACCCAGGTTGCTGGGTTTTGACGCTGTATGTCGGGGCGGGGTCAGGGCAGGGTCAGAGCGGGGAAATGGTGGCCCCCTGTACTGCTTCCTGCCGCTGGGGCCTGCTCAGTCCCGTTTCACTGCTCACTTCTTCGTCGGTCTATCTACGCATGAATGTGTGACCACAGTCAACCTGCCGCCCTGCACCCTCACTGGGTCCGCCTGTTGCTCACTGGGTCGTTCACTGGGTTGCTCACTGGGTCCGCCCGTTGCAACCCCATGCCTGGGATCTGCGCGCCTGAGTCCGTCTGACCGAGTTTTCCTGTGCAACCCCGCTCCACCAGCTGCTGGCTTCGCCCCTCTTACCGGTCAGGCTGAGGAATTCGTTATCAGATTTCCAAAAAGTTCAATTTTCTGTGTTCTGACTGTGTTTTCTATTGTTAATATTTTGTTGTCTCTAAACTTGGTTGTGTGAGAAAGCACGGCGTCTCCACCTATGCCTCCATCTTGGGAGAAGTCTCCCTAAATTTTATCTTCTTGCTAGCTGAGTTCACATTTTTGCAGCTGCCTCTACCCACTTTCTACCTGAACCTGTGTGAAATGACTCAAATCCAAAATCCAATGTCAGGACGTAGTGCATTCTACCAAGTGAATTTTGCCAGCCAGTTGGAGGTGTGCTGTCAAGAACAACACTCAGCCTACATCCGGGTTGAGTTGCAAGTGGTAACTGATAGGGTGTTGAGCTTGCTATCACAGCCCTGTGCAGGCTGGTGACAGCTGGACCTCTGTCATGCTCAGTGACGTTTAAGATGGGTCCATATGTCCCCAACTAAGTCCGAGTCCTCAGGGACCTTCTCTATACTCTTATTCTTGTGTAACCTTCAATAGCCAGCCTCTCAATAAACACACACTTTTCTTTGGCCTCTTAATGTAGCCAGGGCAGGACAAAGTTATGTGGAATGACACACTTTAAAAATTAATACACCACCCATGAGAATTCACACTTCTGAAAATAAACCCTCGCTCTCCCTTCCTCACCCCTGCAAGCCTGCTCTTCCCATGCTCTCTCCGTCTCAGTCACTGGCCGTTTAACCTTCACAGTCTATAATCCAAAAAGTTTGGAGTCCTCTTTTCTTTTTATTTTATATCCTACTTCCAACCCTTTAGCAAATCTCATTGGCTCTGGCTTCCAATTCCATCCAGAGTCCAACTGTTTCTTGCAACCTGTACTGCTACATCCCTGGTTCAAACCACTGTCATTTGTCACATGGATCAGGGGTCCCCAACCTGTTAGGAATGGGGGTCACACAGCAGGAGGTGAGCTTGAAGGCAATGCCCTTGAATCATCCCGAAACCACCCCCCCGTCCCCAGACCATGGAAAAATTGTCTTCCATGAAACCGGTCTCTGGTGCCAAAAAAAGGAAGGGGACTGCTGGCCTGGATCATTGCAGAGACTCTCATTTGCATCCCCCAGATTCTTCTCAAGCAGCCAGTGGATCCTACTGCCATCCAGTAGGTCCTAGCACAGCCTCTTCTCCAAAACCTCCAAAGTGTCGCTCACTCACATGGAGCAAAATCCTTACAAAGGGTCCTCACATGTCCTACAAGGTCCCATATTCCATCATCTCCTGTTTCTTTCCCTTCGGCCCGCACGTCTCCAGGGGCCCTGAGATCTATGCTGTTTCCCTCACATGCTGTAGTTCATTCTCTCTGCTCTGGGGTTTTGCACATGGTCTTCACTCTCCCTGAAATGCTCTTCTTTCTGATACCAGGGCCACCTTGCTCATGTCCTTCGAGTCTTTGTTTAAATGTTACCATAACAGGAAGCCTTCCCTGACTACCCCATCAAAAACTACAGGCACCTGCCCTCCTTCCAGCACACACACACACACACACACACACACCCCCTCACACACCCCTCCCTGGCACTGTCTAGCCCCTTCCCCGCTGTATTTTTCTCCACAGTACTTAGTATTGCTTTCTGACCCAATGAAGAGCATGTTTCGTTGACCTCCCCTACTGGAATGTTTGCTTCAGGAGAGTAGGAGCACACACCATTTCTTTTGCTCACTGCCGTATCCCCAGAGCCTAGAATGTGCCTGGCACATAACAGATGCTCAGTAATTTTCTGCTGAGTGATACAGATTGCCAAAAATAGAAATTAGATGGGCTGTTTGTATCGGTGAGTACAGAGGAAAACAGACACTTTCATGTGTTGCTGGTCAGAGCGAAAACTGGAATTACCTCTTTGTAGAACAATTTGGCAAGAGCCACCAAAATTTTAAAAGGCACTTTACCCAGCAATTCAACTGCCAAACATTTACTCAATAGATATACATGTCCAAACACATAATTCAAGGTGTTCGTGGCATCATCATTTTAATAACGAAAGTCTGGAATTTACTTAAACGTCCATTCACAGGGGCCTAGCTAAATAACATACTGGCATCCGTGTGACTAACATGCAACTGTTGACAGGTTAGAGGGAGACCACATATATATTCCTGTGGACCCATCTCCTCGTTACGCTGAGTGAAACCAGCCGGGGGCAGAAATGTGTGGAGTACACCACTGATTGGGTAAAAAAGGAATAGTTTGTACATAAATCAATACATAAATAGCGCTGGAAAACCGCAAGAAACTAATGATAGTAGTTGCCTTCCTTGAAGGGATTATTCAAAAACTGGGAGACTTGAGAACAATTTTTAAAAAATCATTGTGAATACAGTATTTAAAGAAGAAACGCACCTCGGTAACGTGCAGATCCATACTCTTCTGCTAACTTTTACTCTATGTGGGGCCGACATGTTAAAAATGCCCCGAACTCTGCTTTAAAGGCTTGGGGGATGGGCAGGGGGACGGAGTGAAGCCAATAAAACATAAATAGTTTGGGCCCAACCGCGCGCTCCGTGACCCGAGTGCTTCCGCAGCCCGGGCAGGCATCGGTGCCCTAGAATTTTGCCATCTGGCTGGAGTCCCTGCTTCCTCCTTAGAGGGCAGCAGCGGAGCGTCTCGGGGACGCATGCGCCCCAATTAGCGCCTGGGGAATTAGAAGCAGGGAAAAAAGCTCCAACAAAACACGCTCCTCAGACAAAACCCAAGTGGTGGAAGGCGCACTGCCCTGCAGAGCCTGGGCGGTGGAGGCGCCTCTGGCCTCACCCGAGTCCCGGGCCGCGGCGTGATGCGTACAGTGCGGCCTGCATCGCCCGGCCCGCGAGTGTCCCCGCACCTGGATGCCGGCCCCGTGGCCGCGCCCCTGCCGCGCTTGCTCGCCCCCGCGGCTTTCTCGGAGTCTGCTGGCGCCGCTGGCGGGGCAGCTTGCTCTCCATGGGGCTGAAGGACTGGCTGAGGGTCCTGTGCTGCTGCTGCCCGTGCAAGTGCCTGGAGGAGCCTGCGGAGTCCGAGAAGGAGCCCCTGGTTAGGTGAGTGTGCGTCCTGGCCGGGATCGGGGCTACCCGGCTGCAGCCCGGTGTCGTGGAATGGGGATACCTCCGTGTTTGTCTGAGTTAGGGATGTGGGCTTGCTTCAAGGTTACAGGTAGGCACAGTCTAAGCCCCTTGATCCCTCCTTACAGGGTATCTTGTTCCTTGGGTAAGTTTTTTGCCCCCAAGCTCAAATCCTCAGAGGCACCTGAGACCTTAGGTGGATGCCTGTGGAAAGTGTCAAGAATTCGGGTGCAGTTGCCAGGCAGGGGAGAATGTTCGCATAGGGGTCCGATTAAATACAACTGCCACTGACTGTCCCATTCGATATAGGCAATTGTGAGTTTCTATTTCACCGGAGAAGAAAGTTGGCTATTTTCTCATTCAATTTTATTATCCATAGAAGACCATTTCAGTGACTGAGCACAAGGAAGTATATTTTACTTTTAAAGATGTGCATTTTATCAGTAGGATGTTATCAGTAGGTTAAGTTATTACCGTGTGAGAAAATTTAGTGCACATCGACCATGCGGGAAGTGGCTCCGTGAAGGCTGCACTTCTCAGTGATCTGACTTTAACTCTGCTTAAATGAGGGTTCCAGTAGGTTGTGCCCTGGAGGTAGATGTGAGAGAAGCAGAATATTTAAAATGAAATTAGGGAAAAGTCGATAAAGTGGAATTCCAGGATTGAGTAAGCAAATACAGAAGCCAGTGTTTCTTACCATGTGATAAAGCTTTCACAAGTTTCTTAAAAAGCACCATTTACCTTTTCTTACTTCACCAAGGCCAAACACTGCCCTTGACTTTTTGGTATCTTATGTAATCCCTTCCTGCCTGTCCTCTCTTATTTCCAGGACACTGAACCTGGTGCACTCCCTGATTTAATCAGACAGGCATCCTCGCCACTCTAGGAATGATCCAACACTTTTGTTCTCCCCGAACTTGCCCCAAGTAATGACCTTGATCCTTCCCGCCCCTTCCTAAATGCTAGTTCTCAGGGACTCCCTCAAGCAGTCCTCTCTGATTGCTTTGCCCTTATTCATCTGTCTCCTGTGATTTAGGACTTAGAACTTACCATCTGCCCTTCATGGTTTAGTGAGCACCCATAGATGTAAACATCTATGTCATGTTTTAAATACGACAGACCATGTGTGGAAGTGGTCATATACACAACACACAGTGTTTTTGCTTGCACTTGCGATTGGTACTCACTTAGATTATTAGATTATTGTGAACAGGGAGAAACCTGGTGATCTGCCCCGAGTTTTAAATGTAGCAGGCAAAATCTAGAATCTCATACTTGGTTTGCGCCCTCAGTTTGTTCATAGCGATGTGAAATGTGGCCCTCAGCTCGGTCTCACGCTCAGAGCCTTGGTCTTTCCTATTTTCTGTCCAGGATTGCTATCTAAGTCTATAGTTTTGGTTGTTTTAAAATCTCTACCCTTTCCTGCTTTGATTTTTGCTGGAAGTCAGTGAATTTTGCTAGTGATTTTAAGAAGACAAGGTCAGTTGGGGCAGAATGGCACAGTGCCCATGAATCATATTGCCTGTGGTTAAATCTGGACTGGGTGACCTGACACAAATTATGAAACTTATTTGTGTCTTAATTTCCTCACCGGCATAATGGGAATGGTAATAGTATGTACCTGAAAGGGTTGCCGTGAGAGATGAAAGGAGCTACTCCACATAAAGTACTTGGTGTTGTGTCTGACACATAGTAAACGCTCCATAAGTTTTAGTTATCATTAATTATTGTTATTCTTCTGAGCGTGCGTGAGTGGGCTGGTCTCTTGTGGTGTCATTCCGGCAGCACTTCGATGTGATGGTATTTGGGAAGAGCAGCCTGGTGATGGGTGTGTGGAGCAGCGATGTGTGTGTGGGGGCACCTTCATGTTCTTTCTGCCCAAGTCTTCAGAAGGTCTAGTTTCAAACATTTATTTTTATTTTTATTTTTTAAGTGTGAAGTTCAGTGGCTTTAGTATACTAATGAAGTGGTGCCGTCATCACTATTACCTAATTCAGAACATTTTGTTACTCCAGAGAGAAACCAGACCCCTGAGCCATCCCACGCTGGCCGACTGCCCCTCCCCGCCCCTCCACTCCCCAGCCACCACTAATCCCCTCTCTGTCTTCATAGATTGGTCTGTTCTGGACACGTTGTACAAACAGAATCATGCACCATGAGGCCTTATGCACTTGGCTTCTTTCAGAACATAATGGTTTGAAGTTCTGTCGTACAGTGTGTGTCGGTACTTCATTCCTTTTTGTATTTGAATAAAATTTCTTTGTCTGGATATATTATTTTATTTATTTATTCATCAGCTTGGGACATTTGGGTGGTTTCCTCTTTTTGGCTCTTACCAATAATGCTGCTATGAATGTTTATGTACAAGCTTTTGTATGTACAAATGTTTTTGATTTTTTGGGTTACATACCTAGAAGGTTTTAGGGGACCCTGTCCAACCTACTACAAGGTACTTTTGGGAAAATATCTGAGTCCAAAGCATTGTTGTTGTTGTTTACTTTTAGCACATGGCTCCTTCCATCAGTGATAAAAGCATGCTACTGCCATTTACAAAGCCACCTGAGCATGAGCCGTGGCCCTGGACATGCTAAGATTTGGGAGGCACACCTGCAGTCAGTCACTTTTAAGCAGAGAGACGCCCAAGGGCCCTGGCACTGTGGAGTCTACTGCCACATGACAAGCTACACACACATCAGGCCCGAAAGAGTCTAAAATGGAATGTGAAAAAAGTGCCGTGTCAATGTGTGTAAAACACGCTGCAGCATCTTCACTCTCTGTGAAGTTCTTTTGAACTTTTTCGGAGAAGTATAACTTCTCACTCTGGAATTTTTATTGGCTGTAAATAACTGATAAGCACCACTATCGTCCAGTTGTTCAAAAGCCAAAGAAGAAAGGGAGAGAAGTAACAACCAGGGTTAAGTTTTTATTCGGGGCTCTCTCTTAAGCCACCTAAGGAACCAGAGAATGAGCTTCCAGATTGCCTTGCTCCCTGCGCTTCTCGATGCCCACCAGCAGCTTCTGTTACTGATAACAGGGTTTCTGCACATACCTGGGCAGTGATGGAGAACAGAAGGTCAGTGTTTTATTTTTCTCCAGTGCCTGGAATTTTCCTTAGGGAAAAAATAAAATAAAATAAACCCTAAGTTTATTCTTGATGGTTGTTTCATCCTCACAAAGAGGGGCGGTTCTGAGAAGGAATCTATTGGGCCTGTGAGTGAATTCAATTCACCAGAATTGAATTTCCCTGACCATAAAGAAATGGTCTGTGTGAGTTGTACTGCATCCAGCATCTAAAGGAGGGTGAGAGGCTGAAGTGGTGACATACGCCTTCCCTGTTCCATCCCTCCTGAGCCTTAGTAGGTGGTACTTAGTGCTTATGGTGTACTAGGCACTGTCATAAGTGCTCTGTGTCTATTAATTTAATCCTCGCCATAACCCTATGAGGCGCAGTTGATTCTCGTTATGCAGAGTAGTTATTTCTTCTTTTATTTTATTTTTAATTTTTATATATTTTTATTTTTTATTGTTATTTTTAAATTTTTAAATTTATTATTATTATTTTTTAATTGTTAATTTCATGTAGCCATTTTCAGGGACCTTAATGACTTTAATGTCTTTAAGGCTCATAACATGGCTTTACTATTGCCAGCCCTCTGAATTTCCGCAGAAACACATTCAGGTAAGCAGACTTATTGACTGGGTTCAGAGTAGTTATTTCTATCAGTCACTGCAAATACTGAATTAAACAGTATCGAGCCATTGCTCCAAGGGGAAAATCCAGGGTTAGATTCCTGCCCGCCGATTCGTCAGCTGATCAATACATACCCTGTTTTATGTGCGTTTATGCTAAAGACCCTTAATTGCAGACATATTGTTGATTCAGTAACATTGAACTTGCTGCCCACAGTACTGCAACTCAGGCCCAAATAAAACTCTTCTAAGGCGCACATGCTTGAAGAGCGTGTTTTCTAAACAGTGAACTCACCAACAGAAAGCACAAAAATGTAACAACAGCAACAGCAAAAAAGTGGCACTAAATAGACCAGACCACCCAAAGGACGCGTGGTTAGAGTATGGAAGCTGAAACAAAAGCGCGGCGCCATGTTGGACCTCAGCAGTGAACTTGGGCCTCAAGCCGAGTGAGGAGAACACCAGGAGGACTGATCTGGGGATTGCGGAGAAAGTGTAAGGAGTGGGCAACTTTGCAGGTACAGAGTCTGGGAGTGAGCCATGAGGGCTGACAGTAATTATGGCCCTACCTCCTCTTGACAGGTGAAGAAACCGAGGCATAAGAGCTTCAGTAGCTTCTCAGATGGCTGAACTGGAGTTTGAATCCTAGTATCTTCCAGGCCGGCAGACAGAGCAGCAGCCCCATAGTGTGCAGGGAGGCGTGTAACTAGCTGTTTGTGTGGTGGTGCCAGAAGTTGTGTTTGAGGTATGAGACTTGCTCTGAATCGAGACGGGGGTTGCTGTAAAACACCGGCCCTATATTTCTGTAGATGGCCGGTGAGACCAGGTGCCAGTGGGAAAGAAGGCTGGTGGGTTTAAGACACTTAAAGGAGAATCACCACCCAGCCTCGAAGGACAATAATCTTTTACAGGTGTAGAGTTTTCATTTCACAATGCGGACTCACGTGACCCCTGAGCAGATCAAATTGTTTTCTGCCCTTGGAAGGGCTTTAAAAAAACATTGGCTACTGTTCAGACCAGGGCCCCCATGGCCTGACTCCTGTCCCCAGAATGTACTGCTGGGTTCCCCGAGCTGACGCCAGTCCCCAGGGCCTCCTGCAGAGCCTGCGGTTTCCAAAGCCTGCAGCCCCAGGCCAGCCGCTGACTCCGGGGAAGGGACAGCGCAGGTGCCGAGGGTCTCTGCTGCAGGAAGAAGCTCCTGGTTCTCCTCGGAGAGTCTGGTCCAAGGCCTGTAGTTTTACCTTCTTGAAGGACAGAGGAGAGAGAGGGAAGGGTCTGGCTGCTGT